TCCCTAGTATCAGCTACGTAGCGGACCTAGACGCCGGGAATCTACTAAAACTGGTAAGAAAAGCTGGCCTAGAATTATAGGGATCAGTAGGAAAACGGAGCCACAATAGCCCAGTAGGGGTTCGGTGGCAAGAGGGTAGCAGCAAAAATGCCTATCCGTATTTTAATCTTAACCTTAACCTTAACGCCACATGAGTTGAATTACTGATTAAATCTCCAAATCGGTTTCCATAATCGTTTCAATAAACTCAAGACAAATAATACCTATATTATTTATGATTCCCCAACAATCTTGTTGGCGTTAGTGTCTGCCAGTTAAACAGAATTTGCAAGCTGTCTTTTTTTTCTTCACTGCAGAATCGACTCAGCACTGATTGAAGGGTTGGGTTAATGGTACAAAGGCTCAGTAACGATTACGGAATTGTACAGTTTGATAATATCAACTAAATCTGAGCGGTTGAAGTTGAACCAAATGGATGATTAGTCAATAGCTACTAAATGACCAGTTGGTAGTATGGGCAGAGATGCAGTATATGTGTAAATTAACTGCCGCATTGAAACAACTGCAATTGGGTAACTATTACCAAATGCCCACTTGCCTCGAACAGGGTTCCGTTCGCATGAACGAAAAAATTGAATATTTAAGATAGCTAACAACGGAAGGAAATATTGTTCCATTATCAATTATTATCTTTACTGATGCTACTTGGGTCCCGTAGTGAGATCTGAAAATACTGATCTTCAGAATCTGCAATATTTTCTCACCCATAAGGACAGTAGAGGGAACGCATGAAGTTCCTGCACCTTCATTGCCTCTGATCTTGAGCCATTTTTTAAGTGAGATGTTTAGATCACCGGATACCCTTGAAAAATTGGAATTATGGGGTGGTCTTGAAAATTTCGTATCCCGCACCATTACACTAGGCTCGCCACCATGTTGCTCCTGAACTTTTGTACTTTCGGTTTGCTCTTTTTTGTAGCAGCCCCTTACAGCCCGAAATTTCGTCCTACCCCCGGTCGGTCAATCTTTATTTTTGGCTTCTTTAATTTTGCGGCGTGGAGCCATTAGCATAGCTTTTGAAATCTTATCTCGAGGGAGTAGGTCTGCGGTGCGAAATTGGGATGCACCGCCTGGTTTTCAACATAATGACTGCGCACAATTCCCGCAGGTGTGAGACGAGTAACTGTGATCTGACCACTGAGCTGTTGAGTTTTCATTCCTCGATGTCTTTCGCATGGAATGTACTTTAAAATTAATGATCTTACTGGTGCTCTTGCGCCAATAATCCAGTAAGACTGTCTGAGCTGACCAAGCGTGAGCTGCGTTCCACCATGAAGAATCCTCAGATGAACTTCTTGAATGACGAACTTAGCAAAGTGAGGATCCTTTGGAATGATACCTTGATGTTTGCTATCATTGTCGAGCTTAGCGAATTTGAGATGTTCACCAACGCGAAGAACCCCCTGGTGATCAAGATACACTGTCAATCGAATGAATGGATGAGAAGACCTGAGTTTTTGCCCTCTGGACAAGGTCATCAGAGAATAAATGCGCTGACTGACTAGCCTTGATCCAAAAGAGACGAGCTTGCTCTATATCACCAGAGTTAAGACCTGTCCTTAACGAACGTCGTGGAGTTTTCCTGAGATGAGCAATGAAGCGTTGGCAGATTGCTGTAATCCTAAGCAACCTGTTGAGCGAGGAATAGCGATCAACTACATTCCAGATTTCCAGGCGCTGGACTTCAACAAGATTCAAGATCATCTGTCAATTTTTGAATGAGCTGGACAAGATTTCTAACGAATTCCTCCCATCTGGAAGGGCGGAAGCTGATCCATGTGAGCGTAACTAAAGAGTCGGTCCATAAGTACATCGGCACATTGGAGAAGTCGAGCTGATCTTTCACGTACTTTATGAGCTTAGCCAGAAGAACTCCAGCTGACAGCTCAAGCCTTGGAATAGTCAGCCGTTTGAGAGGTGCTACTTTAGTTTTCGAGCAGATCAATGAGATATGCGGTTCTTCGTTACTATTGAAGACCTTGAGATAAACAACAGCTGACATCGTTATCTGAGAGGCGTCTGAGAATCCGTGTATCACAACTACAGAGTTCTGGAACAAACCAATCCATCTGATGCTAAGATGACCAGCAGAAAGGTGCTCTTCTCCACAATCGGCTGTGGCACACTTACTGATGACTTCATCCCCATTAGTGCACATGGAGGTTACTTCCAAGCGAAGGAAAAGGCGCTCATTTGGTCGAAGTCATGCAAACTTCTAAGTACAGTCAGGTCTGTTCTGAAGCTTTCTGGTTTCGAATTCGTTGGCATCCAAAAGTTGTCCATGCCAAGCTGAAGGAGGAGGCCCTGGGTTGCATCATTAAGACACCAGCTGACATCGATAGAATTGTCAGCGTCAATTCATCTAATGCTTCTTGACTGCCCAACATCCGATCTCTTAAACCCTATCTGACCCATTTCTGTCTCTCCCTCTCATTCTGAATTCTTGCTTAGAACTCCCTTCTAGTAATCAGTCCGATGCTTGTTGTCTAAATGTCAATTCTGTTCGCCATCATCATCTGGATACCATCAAAAACTTCCTGGCGTCCCGACCCGAAACCCACTGTCATAATGATCACTGAACGCGAGTCACCTCACGCGTGGCTGCGCCAGGGTTGGTCGATGACTTGCGACAGTGAGATCAGCATGTTCAGTGACTTTATAGGAAATTCAAGCATAGGCGAACCCAACAGTAATTGGACGAATTCTGCCATCGAAGAGGTTTTCACAAATCCCCGCTGAAGTCTGAGTCTGGCGAAAGTTGCCGAACGTCTAGTCTGGAGCCAGCTAACCACGTTTCTACAAGCTCATAACTTGCTAGATACCCGTCAGTGCTATTTCTTCCGTAGCCACAGCACGCAAACAGCTCTTCTTAGGCTCCTGAATGATGTCAGGACAAATATTGATCATCGATAAGTCACAGTCCTTGTCCTCTTTGACTTCTCTACGGCTTTTGACACCTTCTCTGACTCAGTGCTACGTGCCACGTTCACTTCATTGAGATTCTCGCCTCGTGGAATTACCTGGTTGTGATGCTGCCTGCATGGTCGCTCGCCGGCAATGAACGGTGGAGGCGGACTTTCCTCATTTCTGCATACCAATGCTAGTATTCAAAGCGTTTCTCCTTGGGTCGCTTCTGTTCTCTCTCTTCATCAATGACATCAGCGGCTGCATACGTGAGGCTCGGCACCTGTTAGATACTGATGACCAAAGCTGAAATGTGAACCATTCAAGATGCCAACGTGTTGTCATCGCCTCAAAAATTATTGAAATTATCTGACGGCTGCCTACCCCATCGCTGATACAGATGTAGCTAGGGATCGGGGATTTCCTAACCTAACTATTCCCTACGCCAGGATATAGTCTCCGATATCTAATAATTTTTTTTGGTTAGTATTAACCATCCGGTTAGTATTAATTTAGATTGTAGTGCAGGTCACCAAACGACCTGACACCGCTATTTAATTGAATTTTTATTTCTCAACTGAGGTGGAAAATATCGCTAGGTCAGGCTCTCTCTCACTCGAGCCTCGCCCTATCTCTCTTACCCGTCTTGACTATAATACCGTGCAGTTATCTCTAGCTTTTCCCCCGGGATCCACCGTATACAATTAATTTACGGAAATTTTGACTAAATTTGAATTTTTCGACTAAAATTTCTGTCCTTATAGATTCTTGAGTATCAATCAGTTTCTTGATACAATTGGGACTTCGATAATTGGTGTTATCGCCCACGAATCCACCCCTCTCTCCACGACCCACACACTGCGCAACCGAACAATCCCGTAATTTCCTTTTATATATTATATAATATATAATATAGTATGTGATATATGATACCCTCGGATTTCTGAAGTTCTAAGGTGCGTTTCTGTCGTTACTCAATTCCGGGGATGGTCAGTGAAATTTCAATTTTAAATTTGTATTTACTTGCGGTTACGACTGGCACCCTAAACAAATTTTCGCGGATCGGATGTGCCGCTGATTATTCCACGGTTTCGTTAGGCTTTATGGTTTTTGTGGTTCCACAACTGTCGGAGTAGCGAGAATGAAGGTGATGATTTTTGCCGTGTTTTCGGCATTTGATCAAGTGAGTTAGGGTTTTTATTAATATGTGCTGCGCCGACAGACAAAAATCATTATACCTTGAAACATCAAGTTCTGCTTTCTGATGCTCCGTCTTATCTTGCTGAGCGCTTTGCTGAATATACATCTAACAGACTTCGTGAAACGAACTTCTGCACTTCACATTGTTTATATCTGAGTTTATTCTTCTTCACACCGACGGTAGTGGCCGTGCGGTTAGAGTGCTGGACTAGCATGCCAAGGATCCGGGTTCGATCCCGGGCACCGGCGGTCAAAAATATATAGCGCTCTGATCTCACGATTTCACTGCCTTCATTTTATGGTGAAAAGTTTAAGTGATGACCGTTGACCGATGGGTCGCGATCATTGCCGAAGATGTCCGACAATTCTGGTGAGTTACCGCCCGATTTTAGCCTGATTATAAACAGCATCCTTTCTGTTCTTTTCAAAATTTCATTTAGAACGAGAATAAATCCTGATATCACTAATTGTGTATAAACTTTCTAAATACCTAAAATATCGGTCAACGTGGCAGACTTATCGACACGATTTGCTCGATAGTGATCTTACTACTACACTTAACTTTTGGCCGCCTCACTGAATCATTAATATCCCAGGCCCGATGTCGAAATACCCTTTCAAAATTTCAATGTCTATTCTCTAACAAGTACACGGAGAGAAAAACCCAGGAAAAATTACGTGACTAATCACGTAATCGTGGGCTGGAGTGTCATTTCCTTGATTTTTACTGGAGAATTTGGGAAAAAATGAGAGACGAACAGTGAATTTTATTATTTGCCCTGGAAAACGTACGTGACTGTCGCGTAA